CAGTCTACCAAGAGAATTCACATCATGGACACGAATGCACTCACATACGTTCTTCTCTCCGCTATTCCCTAGACAGCACAAGATGAAGTTTCTCAGGAGATGAAGAACTGTTCAACATTGTTATGAAATTGAGGATAGCAATCCTACTGGGATACTGTGCAAAGTGTGTGGAATTAAGGCAAGGTGAGAGAACATCCTCTTTACCTTGTCTACAAGGATCAGAAAGAGATATAGGTCCCAGCAGCACAGACACTTTCCCACGAGGAATATAGTCTGCTGAATATAAATATTGTAGGCAGTGAGTCACCAAAGATGAAGTCACTGATTTATGCAAGGACTGCAGAGTTTGGATTTGATGGGAGAGGATTTCTTGTCCAAATGCAGTCAGACTGTGATATGCCGTGAGTCTGTTTGCTTTATATTCTATATTCTTCATATTGCAGTATTTTAAAATTTTGGTTAGCTTTCATTTTTATAGTTTAAATTGTTGGGTTAGCTTCTCAGGAAAAATACACATTCTGAATTTCCTTACGTATCTTTCTATCATTCTATGTGCATTTTATCCTGAAAGGAAGTTATGTAGTTATATAATTGCTGTGGTTGATTATACAACCAGCGAAAGAGATAATATTTATTCTCAGTTAAATTTTCTAAGTGCCTGAAGCGAAGGAAATGACACCCTTGATGATGTCAGATGGGACACTGATATCGTGAAGGGTGAGGAGGAGGAGGAAGAAGCAGCTCTTTCTTTATAGGAATAACTTAACAGAATAACAGTTCAGATATCAGGTCTGAGCTGCTGCTGGTTGTCTGTTGCCTCCACAAATGTACCACAAGTGCACACTCTGTTTGTGTGTACACTGGAGAAAGACAAGACCTTAATTTTGAGGATCATGGCTTCATACACAGTGTGAATTGATACATGCTCCCAGATGTGCTGCATTTCATTGCTTCTTTGTGACCACTTCTGGTTTCCTTTTGAACTCTTCCACTGTCAATTAAAGAATGATACACTCTTGGTCAGCCACAGAATTTCAGTAGGCTGAGGCAGTAAGTTACTGCCATTTCCACTGAGCCACACTACAGCTACGACTATTGCCTTCAGAGCATTTGTAATGAAGATAGTGCCATCTCAGAAATCACCCAGGTAGCTCCAGCACTATACAAGGCAGTTTTGTATAGCAATAAGAACAGTGTTTATATTAGTATGGGCAGACTTTTTTTGGCAGCTTTTTCACAAAACTTACTTTCTGAACTCATAGAATTCTCCATAAAACTATACTGTGGGCGGAAATACGGCACTGGAGAGCAGTAACAACATTGTAACTAAGATCTTCTTCTGTTTTATTTTGGGAAATTAAGATTCATATGGACACTGCTAATTTGCACGTGACTGTACCTGGCTTCAGGCATGCAGATTTCACCCTCTCTGGCACGTTTTTATGGCTCATCCTTGGCATATCACTTGTTGCTTTTACTTTGATAAGGTTGCAGTCAACAAGAAAGGGACAATGTATTTGCACGAAATCATTAGGGCCGGAAAAAAACCAAGCACATTTCACCTGCTTCTTAGAAATATTTCAAAATGTTGCATTGCTGTATGATTTCTTTCTTCACCAGAATAAATTAGCTGAGCACATTTTCAGTTCATTAATTTGATGAAAAGTGTAATAAAATACACTTCTGCAGGCAAAGTGAAATGAAAGTTCATGGAAGTAGTTCAGATTTCCTTGAAAATCTGAAAACATAAATATTTTTCACTTTCTCATAAGCATCACCCCATATAAATGTTTGACAAATTTCTACATATTGGTTTTGTTAAGACACTTTTGTGGAAAAAGAAATATATTTTGATCAATTGACCAATTAGTTGGGATTCGCTATAGAGAAAGAATATTTCTGGACTTATAAAGAGCAGAAAAGCACACAACACCTTCAGCAGCACTTTTGTTTCAGCATCACTTATGCCTTTCAAAATCTTCTCCTTGATATTAAAGTTTGTTTTATCCTGTGTTCCATTACAGAATCTTCTACTCTATTTACAGAATCGCAGAATCGCAGAAATCGGAAGAGACCTCAAGAGATCCCTGAGTCCAACCCCTACTAAAGCAGGTTCCCTACAATAGGTCACACAGGTGGGCATCCAGACGGGTCTTGAATATCTCTGGAGAAATACACTCCACAGCTTCTCTGGGCAATCTGATCCAGTGCTCTATCACTCTTGCCATAACGAAGTTTTTCCACTTGTTAGAATTGGAACTTCCTATGTTCAGGTTTCAGGTCATCATTCCTTGCCCTATCACTATGCACCACCGAGAAGAACCTGGCCTCATCCATTTGTCTCCCACCTCCCTTTATGTATTTATAAATATTAATCAGATCCCCTCTAAGTCTTCTTTTCCCCGGGTTAAACAGACCCATGTTACTCACCCTTTCCTCATATGGGAGATGCTCCAGTCTCTTTGCCATCTTTACCATTCAGAAAAGCTTAGAGCTGAAGACAGAAGATTTTGCTGTCTATTTCCATTCCATGCTGTGCTTGATGGAGCAGTAAGGCAACATTTTAGTTTGAACATGGAGACAAACCTCTGTTGCAGAGCAATACATCTATGGGCTGGCTCCCCATCTGGCACAAATAATTGCCTCACTCTATAGTGAAATCGATTAAATTGATGCAGAGAAGATCTTTTTTGTTATTATTACTATTATTACTTTTTTTTAGGAACCTCTGTTATCTCATGTTGGAGCACCCCGTTCTTGGCTTGATGATTGTGTTGCCTGGGAAATGAAAACCAGCTTAGTCTCAAAAAATGACACCTACTTCAGGATTGGGATGTTGAGCTTTGTGACCTTCATCATTAAGTGGTGCTATAGCATTTCCCAAATGAAGGAACTGAGATTGAAGTGGAATTCTGGCATCTGTGGAGTCACAGTTCTGTCAGAAGTTGAAGCATGGGAATCAAGAATTTGGTCAACCAAAGACCCCTCTATAGTTAGTGGCGTAAGGAAAATCTACAGAATACTCTGTTTAGAGCTTCCAAATTCAGAGCACGTATCACAGGATCTCAGCATGTATCACTGCTTTTTCCCTTTGATTATGAGGGGAAGTTAACAGTGGTTACGTCCCTACATTACGTGCCTTAATCTGATGGGAACACTGCTGGTATAAACATCAGCTGCCTGAGAAATTTACTCCAAACATCATGCAGTGGGTCCTTATTTTCTTTTCCTCTCCCACCATGGACTCAATCTTTCCCTGTCTCCCTCTTTTACATATCTGCAGGCACACATTGTGGCATTTTGTATCAGATATATGGGACTTGTTTAGATAAATATTTTGCCACTACTGATCTAACAGTTATTGTCGCCATTTTCAGTATAAGGAAACTCATCATGACTTTTTGTTCCTAAAACAGGAGAATTCATCTAAACCATGAACAAACCAATCCGTACTGTAGCTCCGGGGTATCTTTTCACTTCTCTCTTTGTGGACTGAAAGTATGGAGAGGATAAAACAAAAACAAAAGCAAACAAAGACAAACAAACAAAAACAATCTGAAGAAGAGTTTTGTAAATATATGATTTATGGAAAAAATGCATGATACAGAATGTCAGCTCTTCTGAAGATCCTTTTCCTTTTGGCACTCTCCATTTAAAGGAGCACCCAAGATTCCCAGTATAATCTGTGGTATGTATGTACGTCTATTTGCATTGTCATAGCTGCCCACAGTGGGAGTTTCAGCACTGAAAGAAGTGACAATAAAGGTGCATTGCCAATGCCCATATTCAAACATCCTTTCATTAATGCAACCTTACAATGATTTTAGCTCTGTCCATGTTCCTAAGAATTTATTCAGAATTACACCTTGTCTATCTTTCCATGAAGATGATGGTTGATTAAATGTCTGGAAAACCTTCCAAATGTCTCTGTTTCTGTTCCACTGAATAAGTCCTGCAACTGTTCTATTACAGGGCATGGACAAGGGAAGTAGATAGGAAGAAGTAGAAGCCTTCACAACAAGGAAGGCATCTGTGGTGTGGGTATTTCTTTGCTTCCAATCTGGAACCTACTAAATCAGCAAAGTCCCATGCAGCGCTTGCTAAAAAGTGCTGTTAGTCACTCCAGTCTGAGGTGTCTGGCACAAGTATTTTGCTGCCCACTTTGCATTTCTTTACTTTAGAACCTTGAATTTGGAGTTATTTCTGCAAATGTACACCTTTAATTTTTCACTGAAAATAGATTTCAAAGAGATTCTTTGATTACAGCTGAAGTGGCAGTATAAGAGTACTCCTAAATTCCTGAGTCCCGATCTACATCCTCACCATGCCCAGTTCTGCAGGGCACATCTCCCCTCTCTCCCCATCCCACTACAGCACACTACTTTCCATTAGCAGAAGAATCACCGAGTGGGAAAGGATTGGAGGTATCTTGTTAGCAGAAGCCTAAATTTCTGCTCCACAAAAGTGCACCTTCACAGCATGACACAGAAATCTTTGCTCACAGTTCACAAATACTTGCTCTGAGCCCATCCAAGTTTGATTGATTAGTCAATGTCCATAATACTTATTATTATTATTATTGAACAGTGAGTTTTATTCCATTTAACAAAACAGAATGGGTGGTGATAAAACAAAATGAAATAATTGGCTGAAAATTTGGGATGATCAGAGTTCCTTCAGCCATCAGTTTTTGCAACCTGACATTCTTGCTATCTCTTCAATGTATTGAAACAAGAATTCAGAGATCATTTCCATTTCTCTTTCATTTGTCCATGCAGAAAATAACTAAAAATTTGTATCTGAGAAATCTGTGAAATGAGAACTTTTCTAATTCAGCATTTGTGACTCTCTTTATCATTTCGATGGTTGAACACCTGTACCATCAATGGAAATGGAGACTAAGTCTTTATCTGAGTCCATATCACATCTATGCGAGCCTTTCCATTGATGTCAGTGGGTCAAAGAGAACAAGTACTTTTATTTTATTCTATTTTGTTTTATTTTATTTTACTAGAACTTCTTTCCATGAAGTTGGAGAAACAGGATATAAATATCGAGTCCCCGTCCCCATTGCTAACCATGAACCAAGATTAGCTAATTGGACTTGGTGTAGGCCTTACCTCCTAAGAGGTCATGATCCCCATGACCGAGAAGTCCATTCAGGTAGGGTTGAGTGAATTTTTGCTTTGAAATAGATGTTATCTATCAGTAGATACTTCAAGCAAGACCTCAAGTTCCAGAAATTCCAACACTTTCACTTCGAGGTAACATCCACATGCTCTGCTGAATTCAGAGCTTTAATTTTAGAGCAAGCAGGACTTTGCAGTCTGGAATACATTAACACAGAGGAACAATCATTTAACGTAGTAGCCAAGTAGTCAGGTCACCGACAATTTGCAGAAGTAAATACTCAGAAATAGACTCTATCTTTATTGGTGTTTATATTCAGAGATAATTAGTAACTTGTGCACAGACACAAAGTAATGGATGTAATGATTTATTTTGAACTTGTTCTTCTCTTGCAAGAGCTGCTTACATAAGGGCATGCATTAGCTGGTGTGTTGAAAATATTTAATATTGTAACTCTTCGCTGACAAAGTATAAAAACCTTGCACTAATTGTACATGCGAAGAACTGACTTCAAAATGCTGGGCAAAGAAAATCTAGTGCAGAGATGTCCGAAGCAATGCTTGCTATGATACAAGCGAGTGTACTCTTCTCTTCTGCAAATTACAGTCACCAGAGTGAGGATGATAAGATACAGGGGCTCAGAAGAGGGAAAGTAGCCATACTGCTACACACCTTCATCCTCTTCTCCTTCGAACAGTGCACTCCCTGTCAGCTAAGTCCTTGTCTCTGCAAGAAAGTGCATGAGTGCCTGTGGAGAAGTAAGTCTTTATTTCGCCCCTGGAATGGGGTGTGGGGAAGAGCCCATTCAAGGTTTGGCATGGCACAGTGGCTCAGGAAGTACTGCTAATACTGCAGGTAGCAACAGTGAGAAGCTAAGTGATATATCGCATTTTCTTTTTGATTCATGCTTATGATTCAGAGCTGGGATCCATCCTGGACTAGTGCTGGTTTGGGCTGTTGGTGAGAAAAATGCCAAAGTGCAGCTTGTTTTACAACTTACATCTATTGACACTGCCAGCAGAACTCCACTGAAGGAGAGTCACACTCCTTCCAACAGCTTTTAGGTAGGGAAAAAGAAGTATCAAATAGAACAAACCAAATTGAATGTATTCTTTCCCATAACTTCTGGCTAGAGCAGTCATTTGGCAAAGAACGTATTTACATTACCTGTAAGTGGCTATTTTGAAGGTTTCACTGAGGAGTGTTCATATGATCAGTCAGTTCAACACACAAATCAATGTGTTGGTGCTCCACTGGGACAACCCAGAACATCTAACACATCAAGGAAAGTCATAATGAAGGTGCAAATGCTGCCACCCACAGACGTAGGTCACATGAACAGAATTATTCTCACATTACTTAGTATTTCCATCCACCACCTAAAATTCAGATTCCCCTACCACTCAGCTTGTAAAACTCCTCACAAAAGTTCTGCTCACACAAGCGCCCATTGCTGATGAGCGGAGGCGGACCTCTCAGCAGCAGTGTGCTTCCCTGCCTGGACAGCTTTCCATGGGCTCTCCAAATAACAGGCTGTGCTGTGTGAAGTAATGACTTGGAAAGAGTGGAATAGCCACTGCCTTCTCTGTTTGGACTTCTTTGCTGGCAGACTCCCCTTCTCTTTCTGTTCACTCTTTTACCTGGAGAGTGCTGAGCTACAGAGGAGCTAGAGATTCTTTGAGCAACTTGGTCCTGTCCTCTCTGCTGCAGCTCAAGAGCAATGAGAACTTGGTTGCCATGCTAAATGTGGGACAGATAGCTGGAACCAGGCTTTTACACTCAATAGACTGGCAGAACTGACAGGAGAGGAAAGCAACACACATAGACAATGCAGACAAGTTGCTTGGGCACACAGAGGTGATTTTTCTGTGGATGCCTATAGGTTTGTGGAGTAGTTGAGGCAACCCCACTGAACACTTAGGCTTAGGATTTACGCTTGCCTGTACTTGCAGAAGAAAAAGAAACCCATTTCTTAGTAGTTCCAATTTTGGTTTCCCATTCTGTACTCAGGTTCTCCAGCAGGGAGGCATTGGCTCTGATTTATGGTTCACACATTTTTATTGTCCATGCTCTTTCAGAATAATTCACAGCTAAAGCAATTTTCGGGGCATCCAAAAGAGCAATGCTTAAAAATAAAATTTCCGTGGCCTGCAGTGATTTAATAGCTGGCACAAGTCCTAATCATCCCCAAACTCAGCCATAAATAATTTGCAAGAACAGCTTTCTTACTGTGGCATTACTTCCTCCCCTAGTGAACAAATACAGACTTCTCCTTTGCATTCCATGTTCAGAAATAATTTCTGGTGGTGCTAATGGGACTTTGCCTCTGTAGTCCAATATCTGCTCAGCCGTGTAACAGTGCCACAGATGATTGAAGCTGGCCTGCTCTGCTCCCTGTGTAAAGCTGAGGTTCTCAGCAGATTCTTACAACCTCGTCACTTTGGGCATCTCTTTGCAATACACAATCCAGAATAATTTTGATTTTATTGGCAGGAAAAACAATGTCCAGTTAGTGAGGTCAATATATGTATGTGTTTTTATGTAAAGAAGAAAAAAATGCTATTGTAGTGCAATTTGAGAGCTGAGCACCATAGAGTCTGTTTGATTTGCATTGTGCATTACCGACGCGTGATCCCATGAAAACAGACAGAAATACTCATTAAAGAGTCATGAAATGCCACATGCTGTGCTCCACATATAACACCTTCGTGTTTTCACACCAGTAATAAGTACTCTAATGTGCCATAACAAACAGCAAAACAAGTTTGCAAATTAAGTCTTGAAAGACTAGTGTGGATCTCTTTTTGAGAAGTCCTGTGAAGTTCTTTTCTGCTCAAAAAATTTGCTAGCAACCAATGATTTTTATGAGCACTGCAGAGCTAATGGTGCTGTAGGAGAGAACTCTGGATTCATTTCTGATTCATGCCTCGCAGCGGAATCGTTAAGTTCCAGTTGCAGGACTTTTTATTTCTGGTGATGAGGCATGAGCCAGAAAAGAGCAGAGGCCGAATGGCAGTAAAGTTGGCAATCATGAAAAATATTTCCTAGTAAAAGCTGAGCAAATCAGATCAGAAATCATAAATGTGAACCTTTACAATCTTATTTCAAACCACTCATTTGCCTGTTTTCTTGTTTGTCACTGTTTTGTGCATGGAACCTGGGTATATAAATGAAATTTACCATTACGGAGGGTATCACTGAATCCTAGTCCTGCAGCATGACATTCCTGAGTAGTGGTTCAGCTGTTATTCATGTTCTGTCCATTATGAATGGGGATTTGGGGCCTTCTATTTGAATTCATTTGAACAGCTAGATAACATCCAGAGACCTCACCTTCCATACAGCTGTGTAAGAATAGTTTCCTTTCTCAAAGCAAATGTGTTCTTGGTATCTCTTCCAGTTCAGGCAGATCCTTCCTGTACTCAGCACTGGTGAGGCTGCAACTCAAGCACTGAGTTCAGTTTTTGCGTCCCTCACTACAAGAAAGTCACTGAGGCTCTGGAGTGTGTCGGGAAAAGGGCAACAAAGCTGTAAAAGCCTGGAGCACAAGTCTTATGGGGAGAGGCTGAGGGAACTGGGATTGATCAACTTGGAGAAGGCTCAGGAGAGATCTTATTGCTCTCCATTACTCCCTGAAAGGAGGTTGTAGTGAAGTGGGGTTCAGTCTCTTCTCCCAGATCAATAGGACAAGAAGGTAATGGACCTTAAGTTGCACCAGGGAAGATTCAAGTTAGATGTTAGGAAACATTCCTTTTCAGAAAGAGCAGTGAGGCAGCGGCACAGGCTGTCCAGGGAGGTGTCCAGGAGTCACCGTCCCTGGAGGTGCTCAAGAACCATGTAGACGTAACAGTGAGGGACGTGGTTAGCAGGCATGGTGGAGATTGGCTGATGGTTGGACTACATGATCTTAGAGGTCTTTCTAACTTAATTATTCCATGACTCTTACCAGAAATACAGACACAGACACAGAATCACAAGGTTGGAAATGACCTGCAAGATCATCTAGTCCAACCACCCTCCCATTCCAAATAGTACCACAAGCACTAAACCATCTCTCGTAGCTCCTCATCCAGGCACCTCTTGAACACTGCCAGGGACGGCGACTCCACCACCTCCCTGGGCAGCCATTCCAGTGCCTGACCACCCTTTGAGAGAAAAAGTTTCTCCTAATATCCAACCTAAACCTCCTCTGGTATAACTTCTGGCCATTTCCTCGGGTCCTACTATTTGCCTGGGAGAAGAGGCCAGACCCTTTTGCACCACAACCTCCCTTCAGGAAGTTGTAGAGTGCAATGAGGTCTCCCCTGAGCCTCCTCTTCTCCAGACTGAACAATCCCAGCTCCCTCAGCCGCTCCTCATAAGACTTGTGCTCCAGACCCCTCACCAGTAGTACTCCATGGTATACTGATTACGTGGAGGATGGGAGTTTACGCTGCCAGGTGTTTTTATGCAATGCTCTACAAAAGGACATAGTATGCTGAGAACAGCTTATGCCCAGAACTCATTACAACACAGGCAAGAACCCTTACTGAGATTTTGTCTTGAGTATCAATGTTCTGTTCACCAAAATGGACCCAGAACTAATGGTGCTGCACAGACATTTAGGTTTTTCACTTCTTTTTGATAGTTCTTGGTCTCAATGTTGCCTTAGGGCCTCCCTGTCGTAACTTCGATGTTTCTTCTTGCATAGAGCACAGTAAAACCAAAGCCATGAAAAAAATCTAAGAAAAGAAACTGAAGAGAAAGAGAGAGGGAGAAAGACTGCATGATTTTTGAGGAAGAATCTGCATGCAGGTGAGAAAGGAGTCAAAGTGAGGGCACCGCACTGCAGCCAGTAAGCAGAATGGCAAGTGCAGGGGAGTTGCTGCTTCAGTATGCAGCAGGTAAAACAATGTTGTTCTGAATGCTATATTGAGGCAGTGAGCTCAATATATTTTTTGTGTTGAGTAATTCGTCTATACTTCATGTAAAGCCCCTTCAATATGTAAAGTCCTTCAATAAATTAAATTCATATATATTAAATTCATGCCAGCCAGAGAGATCTGGACAGGCCCATGCCAACCTCATGTAGTGCAACAAGGCCAAGTGCAAGGTCCTGCATCTGGGTCAGGACAGTCCCAAGCACAGATACAGGCTGGGTGGAGAATGGCTTGATAGTGGCCCTGAGAGAAGGATTTGGGGGTGTCAATTGATGAAAGACTCAACATGGGCCAGCAAGGTGCATTTGCAGCCCAGAAGGCCAAGTTATTCTGGGTTGCATCAAGACAAGCATGATCAGCAGGTTAAGGGAGGTGATTCTGCCCCTCTGCTCTGTTCTCATGAGACCCCATCTGCAGTGCTGCTCCAGTTCTGCGGCCCCCAACACAAGAATGACATGGAGCTGTTGGAGCAGGTCCAGAGGAGGGCCACAAAGGTGATCAGAGGGCTGGAGCACTTCCCCTACAAGGACAGGCTGAGAGAGCTGGGGCTTTTCAGCAGAAGGATCCAGGAGGACGTCATAGTGGCCTCCCAGAACCTGAAGGGGGGGCCGACGGAAAGCTGGGAAGGGGCATTTTAAAATGGCATGTAGCAACAGGATGAGGGGAAATGGCTTTAAAATGGAAGAGTGTAGATTTTGACTAGTTTCTTGGAAGAAATTCTTAGCTGTAAGGGTGGTGAGACACTGGAACAGGTTTGCCCGTTGAGGCTGTGGATGCCCCCTCCCTGGAAGCATTCAAGGCCAGGCTGGATGGGGCTGTGAGCAACCTGGTCTAGAGGGAGGTGTCCCTGCCTACAGCAGGAGGATGGAACTAGATGATCTTAAAGGCCCCTTCCAACCCAAACCATTCTATGATTCTATAATATTACATTGCCCAAGGTATACCTTGGCTGTCAGTGAGCACACTGAATGACATGACTGGATGTTACTGGAAAGCAGATGGAAAGTAAAATTTAAGCAGTAAACATACAATTAGATACACTCATGCTTGGGAAATCATACATGTGAAAAAGGGAAGCACTGTCTTGGCCCAGAAGAGGTATGTCTCCAGCAAAGAGCTTGAAACTGAAGGAAGACACAAAGTCTACATGAATAAGGTATCAATAGACTTAAGAGCAAAAGGTTTTCGTTTGGAAAAGACTGCATATCGAACTACGAAAACAGCAGGAGATGTATGTATTCCTCCATGATGCATGTAGCCTTTAGCCTTCAGCCTGCAGAAGCCCAGATTGCTGAGCCTGCATGTGCTGGGCATGCTGGGATCTAGGGATGGAGGAGGACGGCTAAGTTCTTCTCTTACTTTTGTGTCCAAGTTACATGAGGAAATAACAATATGAAGGCAGATCAAAGGTCAATCTATCTCAGCACGTTGGTAGGGGCCAGGAGAAATTCCCTAGGGAAGATCCTTGAGAATGCGAAGCAGAGCAACTGAGGCTCCACTTGGAACAGCCTGTTGGCTTCCAGAAATCAGCAACTTATAGCCTCCCTGCCGCCAGGGTTGGGTCCAGACCACCAAGCTTAACAGACATCACCTTACCTTCCCTGAATCTGTCTAATCCCCTTTTGGACCCTTTACTTCACAGCTCTGTAATAGCTGCACTCACAGACACCACTTGGCAGTGATACATGTACGGGAGAAACCAAGCATGCCTAAGCTTGTTAAAGAAAATAAAAATCTAAGAAAGAGTGGACTTTCAGAGCCTTCCTTCCCTCCCAGCCCTCTTTTGAGGCCTTGGTATCTCAGCTCTTCTGCCTACCAGGGGCTGCTTTCTGCCTCCTCTAGCTTCTTAAGCAGGCAGAAGCCCAGCCAGGAGAGTGGCAGCTGGATGAAGCATGCTGATGACAACCACCTGTTCTTTGCAAGCTTTAAAGTGGCCCTGATGTTGTATTTCACACAATGGCAGGCAGGCTGAGGATGGTCCAGATGAATCAGGTAATACATATGCTGTGAAAAGCATGCCCCAAGGGCCAGATGTGTTCCACAGCACTTATGTACTCCACTCCTCTAATTGCCCCAGGAACAAGGCAACTAGGTCCCTTTAAAATCTGCCCCTTTGGTACTGCTACTACACCACTAATGATTTACCTCTGTTTAGTGCTGGCAGAAGCAGTGGCTTTGCTGACCTGGGTGTGCAGCAGGTTCCTGGGGCAAATCTCATGATTGCTGATGCCAGTGAAAAGCTATGCTTAGCCTGACGGATCCACACAGCAGCAATGAGATCTGTCAACAGAGATTGATACTAGTATTAAATCCAACTGTAGCTACAGGGCATCTCTGCTGGGTTGTGACAGTAGCAAAACCACGTTGAAAGCCAGATTTCAGCCAATGCACTATGAGGGACACTTTAAAACAAGTTAAAGGGTTTTATGACCTGATTTGGCCTTATTTGCTCTGAGCACTGCTGCCATTGAGTACAGCACTAATCTGGTTTGGTCAGAGTTCACATTTTCATGTTCTGATGACAAATTAGTATGAGGCTCATTTACTTTGCAAAGAATAAGCCATCAGCTCCCAAGCTGCTTGGGCAACCAGTCCTGCTGATGCCAAATTGCCTGCCTCTCCAAGAGCCACTTACCTGCAACTGTCTTGCTTCAAAATCACAAGTGACCTTCACTGAGTTTTTGAGAGTGTTCTTTATTCTACACTGCTGGAATCTCCAAGGGATGTCATGAAACTGCTGTTGGCTTCCTGGGGGAGTGGAAGCAGATGAGTCAATACAGATACAAAGTGGGCAAAGGAATATAAGAATGCATACACACAGTGCTTCTGTAGCATCACCACTAGTCTGCCAAGTCACAGTCAGAACATAATTCTCAGGATTTTGCCTTCTTATTCCCTTGGTCTGATACATTTCTTCAAGCCACCTCACATGCCTGGCCATGTTACACTATGCTCGTCTTCCTCCATTTCCCATAAGCAAATTCTAACATAGTTTCACACTGTAGCTCTAGATTTGTCATTGCTTCTTCTGCTGCGTGGTGCATAGAACTCACAGTGTGGCAAGCAACAGAATCACAGAATCACAGAATCACAGAATCACAGAATCACAGAATCACAGAATCAC